TTTCGTTTTTCGAAGTTTTTGTTAACCAAAAAACTTTTAGGTGAAGAAATAAGTCATTCTTCTACACATTACGCGTTGCTAAAGTATTTCAAGAAGTTGGGTTCCGGAAATTTCCATGGGAAACTTGCACGGAGGAGTATAAATCTGTTATTTTTCATGAGGTTCCCATTTATTTGAAAAAAAAAACCAGCCTGTTTGCCGCGCCTCCGGCCCTTCAAACAGCTGTCTGGTGCGCCTTCGGCGCGATCTGACCCATTATTAATTTGTCGTCGCTTCTTTCTTTTTTAAAAGGTCACGTCAATCTATATTTGATTTTCAAGCTAGCTTTTCAAAATGTGCGGACAGAGTAACACACAGAGAAAGAAAGAAATATAACTTCATTTATTTTTTATTAGAATGATTGTTTAAAAAAGTGTGGGGATATTTTTAAAAAAATCGATATGACTGCAGCCATGACCTTTAGAAACATTCCTTCTTTAAGTGGAAAAAATGAAATGACTTGAGAAATTAACTTTGATAAAAACACCACAGTTCGCCTTTTATATTGTCTAACGTTGCGCAATAACACATAACGTTGCCGCCTGTCAGGTTTTGTCACAAATCACAATTTTCCAAGTATAAAATCAAGCAATTTTTACGAACACAGCAAATTATCGGGTCCAAAATGTTTAGGAATTTTGTTTTAATTTTTCTAGCCAGCTCAACTGTAAATTCTATGAATATTCTTGTTTATTCTCCAATTTTTGCCGCTAGTCACACTAATTTTATGGCACGGTTAGCAGATACTCTGACTGAAGCTGGACATAACGTTGTAAGTTAAATTGTTTGTAAAAAAAGTTTTTCAGTTTTTAAATAAAATCTGGAATTATTCAGAATATTCATTTCCGGAACTTTTCTATAAAACTTTGATGATTATTTTCTCAATATTCGATTTTTCTCATACTTGTAAAAATACCGGGCCCGCCAAAGCCCGGGCCGGGCCGGGCCTGAAGAAAATTTCAAGGCCCGGACCCGGCCCGGAAGGCCCGGTAGCAAAAATGTTGTTATTTTGAACCGAATTTTGATATCTCAATGCAATTTTCTATGTTTTTTTTTGTGCTTTTTGGATTGTTTGTCTGTTTGATCAAAAAATAAAAAAAACTCGAAAAAAATTTTTTGATCGAAAAAAATCACATAAGGGTCCCCCTTATGTGTTTTTTGAAATTTTCAAAACTTGTGGAATGACTGGCCCGGGCCTTCGAAACTCGGGAAAAAGCCCGGCCCGGCATGATTTTTCTGAAATAATAAAAATAGTATGATTTTTCTGAAATAATAAAAATTTCAGACATTTCTAGCACCTGTCATGGATGAAAGGAGGAAATCTCAGCTGGGTGTTAAGAAAACTAAAGATGTTGTCCTAGTGAAGGTAAGCTTCAGAAACCTTTAAAAGCTACAGTAATGTTTTCTCCAGCAAGACGAGGAAATGAAACGCCATCTATCCCCTGTTGACGACGATATGTATTGGAAAACTGAAGTCACACCCTGGAACATGAACACAGTAAGCCAGCCTCTTTGGAGGATCTTAAATCTTGACACAAATGTCCTTCAGATTTTTTCCGTTTTCACGGATTCCATGCGTCAGGGATGCGCGAATTTTCTGCGCAATAAAGATGTTTACGATTCTATGAAGTCTAGAAATTTCGATGTTGGAATCTACGAGCCATTGTCAGTATGTGGTTTGGGATTCATGCATGCCATCGGAATCCGTAGAACGATATCAGCGTCGTCTTGTGTGTTTTATGATTCTGTTGTAAATGTGGTTGGAGAGCCATTAGAGCTAAGTCACGTGCCTGCGCAAATGAGCAAATTTGGAGAGGATATGAGTTTATCTGAGAGGGTCCACAACTATCAAATGTCGAAAGCATTGGAAGGCGTCAACTTTGAAAGCTTTGAAGTGGAAACTAAACTTTATCAAGAGCATTTCGACGTACCAGATTGGAGAGAGCTCATGCTAGATTCATCGTTTAACTTTGTTAACGCCATTCCGTATTTGGACTTTCCAAGAACAGTGACTCAGAAAACCATTTCAATCGGAGGAATCAGTATTGACATGGAGTTTATAGAATCGCAAAAATTGTCAAAGGAGTGGAGTGACGTTTTGGATACCAGAAAACACAACATGTTAATTTCATTCGGGTCACTGGTTAGGAGTCAAGATATGCCTATTGAGTGGAGGTGAGCTTTAGGCTTTTGAGCTCATATTGAAACTAATTTTGCAGACGTGGACTTCTAGAAGCCATCAGATCTGAACCAAATGTAACATTCATTTGGAAGTATGAAAGTGACGATGTCTCCTGGGCAAAAGGCGTTTCGAACATCCACTTTTCCAAATGGGTCCCCCAAACTGCTCTTCTCAATCATCCTCGACTATCTGCGTTTTTGACCCATGGAGGATTGGGAAGTACAACTGAACTGGCATTTCTTGGAAAACCCGCTCTTATGGTCCCGATTTTTGCAGACCAAGAGCGCAACGCCAATATGCTAGCTAGGCACGGAGGAGTCAGAGTATTTCAAAAGAACAATCTCGAAAACGTTAAAACTGCAATCCATGATGTTCTGTTCAACAAGGATTACCTGAAGCATGCAAAAAAGCTAGCGGAACTTCTGAATAATCAGCCTACACATCCAAAGAATCAAGTTGTGAATCATGTGGAGTTTGCAGGGAAATTCGGACCGTTTCCTGAAATGAACTCACGTGGAAGAGATCTTGGATTTATTCAGAAGAACTTGATAGATGTCTATTTTGTTTTGTATGCACCTTATTTTGTTGGTTACTTTGTTGTTTTTTTAGTGGTTTTGTGGTTTGTGAGAGCTAAAGAGGTTTTTAGGAAAGTTAAAGATCTCTAGGTATTTTATTATCGTTTTTAGGAGTTTTTATTGTCGAAATAAATTATTCTTTTATTTTGCATTGTAAATTTATTTGAAAAAAAAAACAGATTCTGAAAAATTCTATGGGAAATTTCAACGAAGAAGGATTACTTCGGATCATCTAACGTTAAACTTTGAGCTAATTCATATCGGTATCTTATATAGAGACCGAGATAACAAAGCTCAAAGCTGGGTCACAGTAGCTCAGCTGATAGCAACGAGACAACTCCAACCGTGGGCACACAAGCTAAAGTCCTCGAAGAGCTTATATTGTCGAAATTTGGAGAAAATTGCTTTTTTCATATCCGCTGCTTTTAAAAGAAGGCTTTACTCATTTATTTTCAGTATAAAACCGGTACCGCCCTTTTCCAGGAAGCATATTTGACTAGCTACAATTGAGCCGGTCGACGAGGCGCCGCCCATTCCCTCCTCCTCATACAATTTTCACTTCCTTCCAGTTGTTACTTTTTATAATACTCACATCATGATCACCTCTGAAACTTTGGAAAACTGGACTCTCAACGCTAGCGCATTTTTCGCAATCTCTATAAACTTCTTGCTCATTGTTTTGATTCTAACAAAGTCTCCAAAAGCTATTGGAACTTATAAGCATCTTATGATTTATATAGCTACACTGGAGTTAACCTATGCATGTTGCTATGTCGCTGAGAAACCGGTAAGCTCTTTTTTTCAAAAAATTGAAAAGGAGATTCTGAAAATCGGAAAAAAAATTCCAGGACATTTTCACCAAAGACTCGGCATTTTTAATTATCACCAACACAAAAGAGTCCATATTTCCAGTGACCATTTCCATTTGGATGGATGGTAAGTTTTCTTTGAAATTTTGTACAAATTTTCAAAATTTCAGTGGTCTTCATCGGCTTCTACGGTCTCTCCATTGCACTTCTAGCCATTCACTTCATTTATAGATACCTGGCGATTAGCAAGTTAGTTTTTAATCGAAAAATATAGAAATGATGTGATAATTTTTAAAATTTTCTTTGTTAGGAGCAGATTACTGGAATCATTTCAAAACTGGAAACTAATTTTTTGGCTATTGTTTCCGATTCTAAACGCTGCTATCTGGATTTATGTTTCTTATGTGATATTGGCCGCAACAGAAGATTCGGATCGGTTTTTGGAGAAATATTATTTGCCGACCAAAAAAAATGGGACAAAAATGGAAGACCTGTATCACGGAGGACCATTTTATTATATGACTGATAAGAATGGAACGGAATATATCAATTGGAAAGGGTTTCAAGGAACCTGGATAGTTCTTACATTAATTGTAAGGATTTTAAATTTGTTTTTTTTATTCAAATGATTTCAGATCCTTTCATTCACGACAATGATATATTTCGGATTGAAGTGTTACAAAACTATGGGAAAATTAATGAAAATGACTTCGGTGTCTGAAAAATACAAAAGTCTCCAGTCCCAATTATTTTATGCCTTGGTGTTTCAAACAATCATCCCAGTATTTTTAATGCACATTCCTGCCACGATGGTTTATGTCACTATTTTTTTCAATTGCTCATCTGAGATATTTGGACAAGTTCTGAATATGAGCATCGCCATGTATCCAGCTCTGAACCCGTTGCCAACAATTTTTATAGTGAAACATTACAGGAGAGCAGTGATGGGTAAGATAACGTCAATTTTGAACACATTTATCTCTGTTCTGGTAAAAGGTACTACACTGTAGTAAATAGAAATGTGTTTATCATAATATCGCCAATATTTTATCAGTTGACAGATTTTTGTTATCTTTCAAAAGAACCGAGATAAATTGGCTCAAAGTTGACAGCTATGGGAAACCTATTAGATCATTAACAGAAAACTTTCAGATCACATGTGTTGCCGAAAAGCTGGAAGGACCGATTCAAAAGTTTACAATGTCACCCGATCTGGAAATAATCAGTCTCAAAGTTCTCCATGACGTATCTACTTGAAATCAAAAGCAGAAGAAAATTACTCATCTTGTTTTCGAAAATTACTAAACTACAATCTTTTCGCTTTGAATAACATGAAATACATATTTGTCTCTTAAAATTTTATTTAAAAAATAACAAGTTTCAGATTTTGATGAATTCAAGTTTCGCCGAAGTATCCGCGATTTTTACAGCGCTGAACGGAAGTTGGTCAGCTGTAGAGGGCAGTTTTCCGTGAGGTTGAATATTATACCGGAGGAGGAGATTTCCGAATACCTGGATTTTTAAAAACTGGACATAAAAGTCTAAAAAGTGATGTCTGATTCGGCTATATCAGAATGCTGTGTTTTGTACTTAAAGGTTGTAAAAGATCGTGGAGGCAGCCAATCCGACCCCTCTATGATTTGTGGTTAGGAAAGTGGCAGACGGTCTGATTAGCTATCGTTTTGTAGCATACTTGTAATCCGGGCCTTTCCCGGGCTTCGCGGGCCTTGCCATTGCTTCTTTCAGAATAATTATTTTTAAACCAACTGAATCAAATATGATAGAGCTCGACGAGTGCTACAAAATAATATTATTTAAAGATTTGTATCTTGTTTGCGAACAAAGTTACAGGCGAAAAAAAAGCGAAAAAAGAAGGCCCGGCTCGGCATGTCCGAAAAAAGCCACTTTATGGCCTGTAACTTTGCTCAAAGATAAGATACAGTATTTCACATAACATCATTTTGTAGTACTCGTCGAGCTCTATCATATCTCTACCTATCATATCTCTATCAGTCGGTCTAAAAATAATAAATCCGATAGAAACTATAGAAGGGCCCGCGAAGGCCCGGGAAAGGCTCGGATTACATGTATGTTTTGCAGAGTTTGCCAAGATCCAAAATTTGATTATTGATTCGAACAGGTACTCCAAGTTTAAACCGAGTTATGAGCGTGGAAGTAGTCCTCTTGGATTGGCTCTGTATGGCCAATACAAAAAAGATCGGGCCACTGGTCCCAAAAAGATATGCTTGGTCCCAATGATTATAGTAGCGGCCCCATCACCTTGGCCAGCCCAAAATCTATAATCAGAAAAGGCATACCATGAACAACTCCGCTCTTGCTAAATTCTCTCCAACACAAGATCGTTTCCCGATTCCGAATGGGATCAGTTGATGGATCAGTTTCTCATTTTCCAAGAATCTCTCCGGCATGAACTCCCCGGCATGTTTGAAAATGTCCTCATTAACATGAAGTGCACTCATTTGTGCAGTAAGAATCTCTCCGGCATCCAGCTCGTACCCATTTACCTTTGTTGGAGCATCACTGGTCTTCCAAAAGTTCACATTCAGAATCGAAGCATGCCTTTGAATTTCAGCGATTGTCGCGTTGAGATATCGGGAATCCGCCCTATCTTTTAAACTCAACGGTCTGGACCCACCGTCGGTTAATCTCAAAAGTTCTTCTCTACATTTTCTGACAACTTCTGGATGATGCATGAATTGGTTGAATCCAGAAATCAGTGTGGTTGCTGTAGTGTCATGTCCAGCAGACCACAGATCCAATAAAACGTATTTGAGAGATTTCATTCTGGAATTGTAGTCATTAAGTTTCATGGGACTTCAGATGTTCTTACGTATACGCTGGATGATCTTTCTCCTTTTGAATTTTGATCAAAAACGCATCTACGTAGTCTTTAGGATTGGTTTCCTCCAGAACATATTTTCCGGATTTTACTTCTTCGAATCTTTTCTCGGCGACCCTTCCAACATAATCCTTTATAGCGTTCATCCCATCTGCAGCTATCGCATATCGAGTTGGGAAAAAGGTCTTAAGAACCCAAACAGGCATAATCATATCGAAAGTTGTAAACACTTCATTGAAGGTTTCTATAAGGTGTCTTATATGGAGAAACTCTTCCTTGTTATCCTCTCCGAATCGGTTTCCAACTAATAAACTGTTTATAACACTTCCAACCATGAGCTCGAAAAGCTTTCCGTGTTCAACAACAGTCTTTCCATCTATGGCTTCGTTGTCCAGATCAGCGCATCTGAAATATTGTAATTTGGTTGGAATTTTTGTAAATGCACTGTGACCTCAATTGTTCCGCTTCCTATAAGAAATATCAAAAATCTGTATACTGATAAAATTTTTGTCATAATATTCATATCACTTTAATAGTTTGCAAGTATTGATATCTTTTATAGGAATTACCTTGCATCGAGTTCCTCCATAATTTTCTCCTCCATGATTTCATTTCCCACACCCATGTTTCGGAAAGTGACCATTGTGAATTTTCTTAACTCCGCCCACTTCTCTCCATTGGCAAAAACTAGTCCGTGGTCTTCGGAAAAATTATTCTGTTGTATTTTATAACCTGTTCGCTCATATACCGTAAAACTCTAATAGAATGATATCTCTTGCACCTGCTCTTTGAGCTCAATTATCTCAATTTCTAACAGAGATAACAAATCGTTTTTAACTGATAAAAGATTTATCAGGATATAAGAAAGAGCGATTTTCAAAATTTTCAATTTTCATCCCAAATCACTTCGATTTCCAAAATTTCTGTGAAGTTTCAGTAATTTCGCATTTTCTTTGCGGAGCGAAAAAAATGTTCAAATTTACATAAAAAACGATAAATCCTTTTCGTATAGTATTTCCTGTACTTGCAATAGAATTTTTTCGATACACAAATATATATTTATTCGGTGATAAAAAAGAACACTTGATGCACAGAAATTGAAGGCTTCAAATTCTGGGATTTTGGAAATTTTACGTGATTCACAGAAATTGAACGTTGCAATTTCTGGGATTTTTCACAGAACTCGAACGGTTCGAGTTCTGGGATTTTGGAAATTCACGTGATTCACAGAACTCGAAGCTTTCAATTTCTGGGATTCTGGAAAAGCATGGGGGGGGGGTAGGGATTCAAGAAGGGTCGTGATAAAGCAAAATGAATATTAGGAAACTATCGTTGGACTTGTTGTTTTCCATAAAACGGATCCTTCGAGCTTGAAGATAATTTTTCGATGTGAGCTCTCTGTTGGCTGAAAAACTAGTTGTAAATTCTGAGTCGCATTGGAAGGGTTGAAGTAAAAATATAAATACAAAGCTTAAAACTTACCTTTGTCACATACTTTTAAATGAAATTGATCGAGATAATGGAAAATTTTTGTTCATAAGCAATAAAAGATTCCACGTGATGTTTTGAAAATTTGAAAGTTTTGAAAAATTGGCAACACGGATTTTTATTGATTTTTCGTCGAAGAAAACTGAGTTTTCTTCGGCGTTCAGTTTTTCTGTTTTCTTCGACGGTAAATCATTAAAAATCAGTTTTGCCAGTTTTTCAAAACACCAAGTGGAATCTTTTATAGCTTTTGAACAACATTTTTCCACCATCTCAACCAATTTCATCCTAAAGTACTGTATGTGACAATAGTAAGTTTCGAATAAAAATGTTTTTTTTTGCTTTTCTAAAATCCCAGAAATTGAAAGCTTCGAGTTCTGTGAATCACGTGAATTTCCGAAATCCCAGAACTCGAACCGTTCGAGTTCTGTGAAAAATCCCAGAAATTGCAACGTTCAATTTCTGTGAATCACGTGAATTTCCAAAATCCCAGAATTCGAAGCCTTCAATTTCTGTGCATCACGTAACTTTTCGCAAAATTGAAAAACAACAGAAATAATGTAATTAAAACCATATTTTTCATGATTGCGTTGAAATAAAGTATTTCTGGACAAAAACACATCGATTATGACATTTATCAGTAGTTTAGTATTTTCTGTGACGAATTACAGAAATTTGGACCATTTGTTTATTCCTTCGAGAATTAAAAATTTTGAAAATCGCTACTTCTTATATCATCAATATTTTATCAGTTGTGACATTTTTGATATCTCCCATAGGAGCCGAGATAATCGAGCTCAAGTGCAAGTATGAGGTGGGTCCTGGACTGACTGAGCCACATGGTAGTAGTTGGGCTTGATAGTCACATATAGCGTTAGTTCACATGAAAATTAGACTCACCTTGAAGCTCTTCGAAAATTGGACTCAAAAATCTGTCCTTATAACGATTTCCATTTTTCACAAAAACCTCATGGTTGGTCTCAAAATCGGCGATACTAACATGAGGGAATGGTCCCAACCATAAAGTAAACACATTTCCATACTTCTGAAATTTCTAGATTTTTTCAGAAACATCAAAACGATCTCACTTTTCGAAAATATTCAAACGCCGGGACGATTCCATTGTTCTTCCACGAGTAGTACACAATTTGGGGATTGTTTCCGATTAATGGGAGAGTGATTGGTCCGGGTGGAAGCTTTCGAACTTTTTGGTAGTGTCTGACTATTAGAATGGCAAGAAGTGTGGTGAAAATTAGAACTAGAATCATGTTGAAAAGTAGATAAATAATACAAATTAAGCTTCATTTTTATACATAAATTTCCGAAAGCTACAAAATAACAGTTTTCTTTGAAACACGGTATTTCCTTCTTAAAGATAAGATTTCTGAATGTTTAGAAACAAAAATTACAAACTAGCCATTTTATGACTACAAAACACTGTTTGGTATCATTGACAAGAGAGAACTTGTTCTTTAATCTTTTCTTGGTTATCAGTCAAATTTCGATTCTTGATTGGCTGGTTGTGCAGAGTTTGTGACTCGAGTATCTGAAAATTTCCTTAAATTTTAAAAAATCACTTTTCAACAAACTTACGTCTCACCATCCCGATTGGGTTCTTCTTCAACATATTTCGCAGTTCTGAGTTTAGAAAAATCAAAACATACGGATCGATTGAATGAACCGAGCACCAGGCTACAGTAGTGCAAATGAATATTCCAACTGGATTTGTTTGCATCCCGGATATTATGAAAAATGAAATAAGTTCTGCTGCGAACACCCCTCCCTGGATAATGCACTGTTTGACAAATGCGATTTCTCGGTCACGATGCTTTTGGCTTTGAAGGCTGTTTGATGAGGTGGAATTCTGAATAAATGGGTGTATATATCACGGATCGGTTCAAACTTGGAAATCCTTTTTGAATCATGAAGTAAAATGTAGAACTTGGTGAGATCTACAAAATGTTGCCTAAGTCGACTATATCCTTATCTATGAGTCTTGATCTGATGGTCAACAAAAATGATGCTAAATTAGACACAACGGGCCTAGTCATTGCTACCCACTCTGAATTATCTGGCCCATATTGAGGTCTATCGCAGATGAGGGGTCCCCAATTACTCCCGATCCCATTCCTTCGACTATGGTCCCATCAACCTTGCCATGGTCCCATTCTACCTATTGGCAAGATTAGTCAGGCCATAGTCGGAGGTGTGGGACCACGGTCGTCATTTAAAGCTTGCTCTTGTAATCGATGGGACCTCGGGTACCTTTCCTAACAAGGGACCACTCTTCTCGAATAGACCAGAATAAAGACAAATCGAATATTATTTTGTAGATCTCGCTGACTTCTACTTCTTTCCCTTTTTGATTTCAACAGAAATTTCAAATTTGAGCCGAGTTAGGCAGACCCTATACCTCTTACCATTCTGGATGCGGTAACCTTGATCATAATCATAGTGGAAACATCAACGATCGCAATCAGAGCAACCACCCCAAAATCTTTGCAAAAATCAACATAGAATCTGATGACGTCACAACTGGCAGATGTGTTCACACCAAAGTACCATCCAAAGTCCACATACGGAAGGAGGCAATGGTCTAAAAACAATTGTCAAAAAAAGTTATTTTTAACTGAAATGCTCACTCGCTAGGTGCATGTATATCGAAGTAAAACAGGGGATTGCGTAGGCGATGAAAATTAGAATTCGTGTGTTTTGCTCGCTGGAAATGTTGTCAGCTCTTTTTTGGTATAGAATAACAACCAACCTAAACAGATCACTGTACTTAATTGGGAAGGAAATTGCACACAATCGGTTGATGGCAATGAACAAGTGAGAGAAAATACATACGTCGTAGCAGAAGAGTAAAACGAGACCCATGTAGGAGGATGCAGTTTTAAAAGTGGGAATGTTGCTACAAGTATTTTTGACGTCCAGGTGCTTCTCCAGTTTATTAGGACTTCGGGTGCCGGAAACTTCTGGTCGGAAGTTTGTTAGATTCCGAACAAGACCGCTACTAAAGCTGACCAAACTCCGACAAACTCATCACAAGTTTCCGACCTAGTAGTTTTTCAACTTTCAAATGCCGACTAAAATCTGATTATGGTCCGCTTAACAGCCGGTTTTGAGAAAGTTCCAAACAGAACGTGGGCAACATCCGTTGGAAGCCGGACCCCTCAACTTCTGAACAGAAGTTACAAGCCGACCTGCCGAGGACTTACAAAACGACCATCGGACAGTAGAAGCACATAAACACTGCACAAAGTATTGCTTCTGCAAAAGATTGCGATGCTGAGAGTCTTCCGAAAGAATTTTGAAGAGTTTTGACAGTGGTGGCAAAAAGGAAAACTGCAAGATTTCCGACCAAGCCAATGAACGCGATCTGAAATAATTATAATTAATAGGTTTCTATTACAGGTATTACGGTAACTTAAAAATTACTCTATTACAGGTATTACGGTAACTTAAAAAAAACTTAAAAATTACCGTAATACCTGTAATAGAAAAGCTTTTCACTGTCAAGTTTGAGCTCAATCATCTCAATTCTTATGTAAAATATCAATAATGTGCCAACTGACAAAAACACTTCTGATATTTTGACGAACAGTTTATCAGTTAACACTCAAAAAAAAAATCTTTGACAGGGACCAAGAAAAATCGGCTAAGGGTTAAATGTTATGGGCCCTTCCAATACAGGCTTTACGGCACTTTCACTTACGGTAAAAATCACCAATGTCACTGCAATCCGTTGATTTTGACTGGAAATTTCAATAGTAGCGTTCATGGCTTACAGCCAAAAAAATGAATGAAGATGTAAAACACAGAACCTTTCTGTTTGAGACTAAAAAATCAATTTCCCTAGAATATTAAGAACACTTTAGACCAATGAACATTCTTATTAATTGGCAGATATCCGGTATATAAAAAATATTGAGACTAACTGTTATATTAAAGTTATCTTCAAAAAAGTAATGTGTAGGTTGTTTGGACATCAGAAAGTTCCACCTCTTCTTGCACTGTTCTAAATCTGGTACCAAGTTGTTGTTTACGGTAATCGTTGAACGATTACAGTAAACCAGCTCAAATTAGAATCGTCTAAACAAGGTTCTGATCTTTTGCTACTTTCTACTTTTTCAGCTGCATATACATAATTGAAAATTGAGACATCACTATTGCTGATAATCTGATGTGTATCACAAATGGCATACATGTCAAGCAAGTATGACAACTGGAGTTTCCAAAATTATAAATCAAAAAGGCAATTTTTTTCATAAGGCAAATTTGAAAAATCAACTTTATTCTAAATGGGACAACGAGCTCTCTATAATTTCCGAAATTCAAGTTTCACAGTTTTATCGGGCAATTTCCCAGCGGTGTACGGTAGTTTGTCCTCTGTGGATGGCAATGCTCCATGCGGCTTGATATCGTAGCGAAGCAACAAATTTCCAATCATCTGGGAATTTCAACGATTAAACTTCTAATCACTAATCACCACAATACCAAATAGATCTCCGATCTAGCAATATTTTCGCCTACACAAGATCGTTTTCCAATTCCAAATGGGATCACTTGATTCAAGAGTTTCGGGTCCTCAATAAATCTTTCCGGGTAGAAATTCCCTGCATTTTTGAAAATGTCATTGTTGACATGAAGTGCTCCAAGTTGAGCTGTGATCACTGATCCAGAGTCCACTGGATATCCTTTGATGGTGGTGGCCTCGTGGTTGTACCTCCAAAAGTTTACATTTAGAATTGAAGCATGTCTTTGGATTTCGGCTATCGTCGCATTCAAATAGTGGGAATCTGCTCGATCCTTTAAACTCAATGTCCTCGACCCGTTATTCGTTAGTCTCATCAGTTCTTCACGACATTTCATAATGACTTCTGGATGATTCACAAGCTGGTTGAACCCAGAAACCAATGTTGTTGCAGTAGTGCCCTGTCCAGCCAACCACAAATCTCCAATCACATGCTTTAGGCATTGCATTGTGTAAAAATTGGTTGTTCCTTTCTCCTTTTCTTCTTCGATTTTTGCCAGATATGCTTCCACAAAATCTTGGGGATCGTCTGCGTTGATAGTATATTCTCCGCTTTTCACTTTCTCATATCTCTCATTTGCTTCTCGAGAAACAAAATTGATTATTTCTTCTTGTACCTCAACGATTCTTGCGTATCGCTCAGGGAAACATTTTTTGAGCAACCATACTGGAACAGTGAGCTCGAACATAGTGAACAACTCGTCAGCTGAATCTAGAAGTCCTTTCAGTTTCAAAAACTCGTCCTTGTTGTGAGAATCGAATCGTTTTCCAATGAGTACACTGTTGATAACGCTGCCAACTGTGAGATCGAAAAATTCCGAAGTATGAACTATGGTTTTTCCGTTAACAGCTTCGGCATCAATTTCAGCACATCTGAAAAATTAATACAGTTTCGTCAAATATATACTTTTGTAAATACCTAGCATCCAGTTCTGCTAATATTCTCTCTTCCATCAAATCTCTTCCTACACCCATAGTTCGAAAAGCTAACAGTGCAAACCGTCTCATTTCCGCCCAAGACTCTCCGTTCGCGGAAATTAAACCCATATTTTCTGAAAAACTCATTTCCCTAAATCGCATTAAACATTGGTCACTTACCACTAACATGTTCAAAAATTGGCGGCAAGAATCGATCTTTGTATTTATTCCCATTTTTGATAAACACTTCTTGAGAAGTTTCATAGTCACAAATACTCACATGAGGAATTGGTCCCAACCAAAGAGTAAACACATCTCCATATGTCTAAATGCGATTTCTTATTCATTTACAGATAGATGGGATTTACTTGTCTAAAATAATCAAATGCAGGGACAACTCCCTTGTGTTTCCAACAGTAATAAATCAGCTGATGAATATTTCCAATGAAAGGAAGCGATGTGGGTCCGGGTGGGAAATTGCTGGCCTTTTGGAACTGACGCACTATCAGAATGGCTAGGAAAAAGGTGAGGAGTAAAATGAAAATCATTTTTTTTCTTTCTATGGTTTATCAATTGAATTTTTATGTTTACTATTGATTATATAAATGGCGGGAGAACTACAAACTACGCATTGAATTATCAATGACCCTATTCACTGACTAATTTGTCTACAAAACACGCTTTGACATCTTTGACATTTGAAAAATAATGGAGGAACAATCAATTGGATAGTCTTGTTTGTTAAAGTTTTTTTTGTTTTTGTTTCTCTTGTTGAAAAATAAACCGCCCAATTCCCAGGGGTCTTAATCAATCCGGAAATCACATTTTTCAAGAAATTTAAAGGTGGGGGGACAGGAGATTTTACGGGGGATTTTTGGGGCCAGAGTATGCATTCTACCGTGACGGTGTACAACGCTTAATGTCACTCTGCGTACAGCTGTCGTCCTCGCCTTTATGTATGCAATCGGGCGACCGCTTTTTCTTTGCCCGTGTAGCTCAGTCGGTAGCGGCACCGCACCCTCAATCCTCGCCCCAACAAGTTCAACTTTTCGAGGGGCATATTTAAACGAAATTTCGAGAACATTATTTTTTTCATGTCCCCCCACCTTTAAAAACTATAATCTCCAATCTAAAAATTTGAATGAGCATTGAAACATTCAAGAAATTGAGTTTCGTGTGCAGAACTCCTGTTATTTTTCAGGCATTACGACCGAATAGCTCGACAAGGCACTTTACAAGGTTTGGCGATGCATATTTTTTCAGACCGATTTTGCCGATCTTCGATAGATGGTCGATTTTTCACAATTTCAATTTTTTCTAGCTTACTTACAAATTGTATGGTTCTTGTAGCGATTATAGTCTTCATAGAACTTAACAGCTGATAAAACTAGAATTGAAAATCAACACGTCGGGAATAAAGTTACGAATAAAGTGTTTATTTCCGAAAAATATACAAAAAACCGTAATCGATTGCAAATTAATTGTTTACAGTCAAATTTTCACAAATTGCATTTCAAGCTTGAATGGTCTCTTGGCAAAACTATACGGCATCACTTCTTGCGTCGACAATTTTCCGTGGGGTTTGAAATTATAACGAAGCAGGAGATTTCCGAAAATCTGAAATAAAAACGATTATAATTTTGAAATCTATAAGTTTCAACTCACCAAGTACAGTTCGGATCTAGCCAGCGACTCCCCCAGGCATGCACGTTTTCCAACCCCAAACGGTATAACTTTCTGAAGAAGTGACTCATCGCGGACGAATCTTTCTGGATCGAATTTTTGGGGATCTTCAAAAACGGTTTCGTTGATATGGAGAGCGCTGAGTTGTGCGGTGACAAATGCTCCAGAATCCACCATATGTCCTCCCATATTAGTTGGTTCATGGTTGATTCTCCAGAAGTTGATGTTCAGGATTGATGCGTGGCGTTGAATTTCTGCGATCATCGCGTTCAGGTATGGTGTCTTGGGTCTATCGGATAAGCTGAGGTCACGAGATCCGTTTTCAGTGATCTTCATGAGTTCTACTCTAGCCTTTTCCATAACTTCAGGATGTAAGAGTAGCTGGTTGAATCCCGAAATTAGCGTTGTTGTTGTAGTCTCTTGTCCAGTAATCCACAAGTCAATGATCATAGTTTTCAGAGTCTCGATACTGGAAATTGTATGCTAAATTTAAAAAATAATTTTATATACTCACTTGAAATTTTTGTTCTCTCCATCTTTTTGGATTTTTAACAGAAAAGCATCAGAATAGTCTTGAATGTTGTTCTCATCGACAGAATACTGTCCTGATTTCATTTGAGCATATCTTAATACAGAAATTGGAGGATATCTCAACGTCTAATTTTACCTGGCTTCCGCTTCTTTGGCCACAAAGCCTGTGGTTTCGTCATTAAGGGAGATCAGATTATTATAACGTTTGCTAAAGAATGTCTTCAACACCCAGATGGGCACAGTCATGTCAAATGGGGTGAAAAGTTCGAAAGCAGAGTCCAGGGCGTTTTTGATTTTCAAAAACTCTCCTTTGGTATTTTTATCGAATCGTTTTCCAACTAGAATATTGTTGATGATACTTCCAACTGTTAAATCGAAGAATTCAGAGGCTTGTGTGGTGGTGACTCCATTCACAGCGGCTTTGTCAATGTCAGCGCATCTAAAGGTTCGAAAATCTTGTACAGAAGTTTTTATATTAACTTATGAGAATTGTGTGAATTCGGAAATTCAAGGCTCACATACTGATTCCATGAATAAACTAGGGTATGACATACCTTGCATTCAATTCCTCAATAATTTTCAACTCCATGACATCCTTCCCGACGCCCATGTTTCTGAACGTTTGCAATGCGAATCTCCTCATCTCTTGCCAATGATCGCCGTTTGTTGATAGCACTCCTTGATCTTCTAAACAAGCAGGTGTTATAGTTTCTACTACAGTAATCCTAACTTTTGATTTCTTGGAACAGGGGAGCATGGAACTTGTCTGCATATTTGTTGCCATTTTTCACAAACACTTCATGAGCAGTTTCATAGTCGACAATACTCACATGAGGGATTGGACCAACCCACAAGGTGAAAATTTTTCCGTAGCGCTAAAAAACAATTTTAGAATAAGATCTTCAGGTTAAGCTTACTTTTCTGAACAAGTCCAAAGTAGAAACAACACTCCCAGTTGACCAGAGATAATACACAATTTGGGGTAAATTTCCAATTAGAGGAAGAGAAACTGGTCCAGGTGGAAGACGGGACACTTTCTGGTATTGTCTTACGACCAACCAGGTGAGAAAGAAAGAAATTATCAAAACGAAGAACATTTTTCAAATTTAACGTCTTATCTGTTGGTTTATATAGAAGGTTAAAATCGTGTCCGTCGATCACATCTTATCAGGTGTTGGGGGCAACAAAGGCTTTATTCGCTACAGGAATCACAAAGTTGATCGAAAGAACACAAAATATTTAATTTGGATTGAAAGTGATCTCAAATTTTTGATTGGAGAAAAATCCATTTCCAAAACATAAAATTTCCACTCTTTGCATTTTTCGTACCATTTTTCAACCAAAATAGTTTAATTTTCATGTATTATACTAATTATACTCCTTTGCAGATTTTTTTATTGAGTTTACCTTTTTCAAAAACTTTTTTAGCCCGGCGGGCCTGGGTTCTCCAAATTTGAAAAAATTTTGAAATGTCAGAAATTTTTTCAAATTTGTTTCTGGAGATAGAACAGAGAACCAACCTATATGGGAGGACATATGATGGATTCTGGGGCACTGGTGACAGCTCAATTGATGTCCTCCACGTCAATGAAACCGTTTTTGAACATCCAGAGAAAATCGATCCACAGAGATTCATCAGGGATGAGAAGCTTCTTCAGAAAGTCATTCCGTTTGGAATAGGAAAGCGTACATGTCTCGGGGAGTCATTGTCAAGGTTCGAACTCCATTTAGTAGGTCTACAGACATTAAAAATAGAAAAATTGATTTGTTTCAGATATTTGGAAACCTCCTACTCCGATATAAACTCCAACCACATGGAGAGCTGTCAACAAAAAACCTTATGCCGTATAGTGCTGGAAAGCGACCATTCAAATTGGAAATGCAGTTTATCAACATTCTTTGTATTTTGTATTTGTTCACTTTTCTTTTAATGGTAATGTATTCATTTCAGTAAAAAATATAATGAAAAATAAAATCACAAAATAATATTTGCTCCTTCTGGAACCTCTTCCTCATCAATGACATTGAAAACAATAAACGAAGAATTCAACCTGACAGAAAGAACATTTTCAGAGTCAATTCCAAAGAACCAGGCTTTGTTAGATAGAATTCCTGTAAGAAATGGTGATCCGTATAAATCAATCAATGATTGCTCAGCGTTGAAATGATCGAATTTAATTTGACAGTAGTCCATGTGTGGGGGATTTAGGAACGTTTGAAAAGAGACTGTATTACTGAATTACTTGAAACCTACTGCTTTTTTTAGAGAATGTATTACTGTTTTGCTTGAAACTTACTTCTTTTAATTCTTCAAACATATCAATTGTGAGATTTGTATTTTCAATGTAGACTTTCTTGAAATGCTTGAAATTATGTAGAGGAGTCTCAAGAAACAGTTTGGCAGAGTGTAATTCTTTGGAATTTTTCCATTGGTCAGACTTCACTATTTTGTCCAGAACAAAATCTTCCAGTTTTTCCCCGTTGTCTTTGAAAAAGTCCATGTCCAATGTTTGGAGCCCAGTAGGATTGACGAATGGGAGAATGTTCAAAAGATGTTTTTGACAGCTAGCATGCATTGAGAAATACTCGACTTTCAGAGGATTTTTCCTGGTTTTCAAATAACTTTCAAAGTTTTCCATAAACTTTAAAATATCTTCAGATTGATTTTCAGTGGTTAAGCTGAATCTATCCAAGGCTCCGAAGTTCTTGGAATCTAAAAGGAGGTGAGCATCATGCAACGCAACTTCCACATGATCCGAATCTTGCATGATTTTTCCATCTGCTCCAGTCCATTTCATCAAACATCCAGTTTCATGTTTCTTGTAGGTTATTTTGGTTGTTCGATCTTTGAAACGTAAGGTTGTAATAATAGAATCACAGTTAAGATCCAGTTGGAAAACAGATAGCGTTGATTCAGGATTAATTCTGAAGATGGATTGGCGTAGATCAATACATACTTTTCGGAGACACTGACTGAAAATTTATTACTTTTTAGGGGAATAATAAGGACTTACACTGATAAATAATCCAACTTATCCATTATATGTTTTAAAGCAACATCTTGCATGTTTAGCAAAGTAGGCATTTTTGAAATGGAAAAAAATGGAAGATAACAGAAAAGTTTGTGAAGTGATGAGCGAAAAAAAAAAGTTAAAGAGCCTTATCACTCTCCTACATGACGTGTGTACACACATACAAGGCAAACTACATACATTTTTTTCAATCTATTTTCTTAAAGGTGGCGTCCGCTAAGTCCAAAATTTTTGAAATTTTTATATCAATCGATCCAAAATTTTGAGTCGGGAAGGAAACTCTCTTAGAGGATAGTCTGAAAATCACTCGTTCTTAAGATATATTTCAAAAACACGCCAGAAAAAATCAACGTAGAGGGTGCAGATTAGGGAGCTCGACAAGATGTTAAAAATTTTTTTAAAATCGAAATGACGAACTAAACAAAGCATAATTAAACACAAAGTTTAACAGAAACTTCCGTTTTTTTTTAGCTGAACAAGAAAAAGTTCTAAAATGATCGGCTCTAAAAATTCTAAAAAATTTGAATATCAAAAATATAAAATTTTCAAAACTGTTACATACAGTGGCGAACGTTAGTGAGTGTCACTCTATACTTGTGTTCTTAAACTTGTCCAATAAGTGAAAATTTTTTTGTTAAATGTAGCCGAATTTCCAACCAAACGTTACACGCGTTTTGAAACTCAATCAATTTCTATGTCTTCTGAATATTAACAGACGTGACGATGACTCCAGAAGCAAAAAAATTTTCCGTCAGAATTTTTTTAAAGGCCGGCTTCGTGATGAAAAATGCTTGGTGTTGATCGAATATATACCAAACAAAGTTTGAAGCGGTTTGGAACACTTGCTCTTGCGATGTGCTCACTAGAACATAAAAGGTATGGTTCAGGTGTTTGGCTATAACTCGGCTCAAAATTTGGCTACAACTCGGCTCCATGAGTACAGAGAATTGTTCTGGTTTTGTGGTTGTTGGTGGGTTTGTATCTTCTGAGTCGCAGACTACGTGTTCATCGTTTTTAGCTATATTCCTTGTATTTCATCAGCTGATTTTCCAACAAAAAAAAGACCATTTTAGGCCCATCGATGGATTTTCACAAAGAGGTGTCGCTCAAGCAAAGAAATGAGAATTTTCTGTGGATGAAATGATCGGTAAGTAGCAGTTTTTCAGCCTCGTAGTTCGAAATTTCTCAATAATTTTTTTTTCAACTTCTAGATCAAAAATCGAATTTTTCGCCATTTTCAGTTTTATGTCATTTTCGGACCTTTTGCACCAGGCTTTACGTCGTTTATTGTCATCCCATGGCCTAATTTTCCTATTTTCCAGCTATCAACAATGCCGAAGAACAAGGGAAAGGGAGGAAAGAACGAGAATGACTTGATGAAGCGTGAGCTCGACCTAAAAGAGGAAGGACAAGAGTACAGACAAATGTCCAAAATGCTCGGAAACGGTCATGTCCAAGTGTTCTGTTTCGACGGTAAGTGTCACATTCGTGGGAAGCTCCGGAAGAAGGTCTGGATCAACGTGGGAGATATTATATTGGTCGGCCTTCGTGATTATCAAGACGACAAGGGAGACGTTATTCTGAAGTACACTCCAGATGAGGCACGTCGTCTGAAAAACGAGGGATTGATTCCAGAGAGTGCTAAGGTGAATGCGAATGATGAGCAGGATGAAGGAGAGGTTGAGTTCTGTAAGTTATAGAATTAGGAAGAACCGTTTGAAATAAGCCGGTTTTTTTTCAGTGGATCGTGGGATGAGGCCGCTTCTGCCAAATCGTCATCAGACAGCGATTCGGATAAGGAAGGAGAGTCGGAAGAGGAGACAGAAGAGGAATCTGATGATGAGGATTCTGACGATTCTGAGAATGTTCGGGAAGAGAATCTAGCTGAGAACTCGTCGTGGAGGAAACCGAGGTGGAAAGAACAAGTACGGAAAAAGACGCTAGATAATTTTTGTTGATTTCCGCTGATTTCTCGTTAGTTTCCCCTCAAATTCACCTATAATTCTCCTGTTTTTTTCTGATTCTATTCTCCTTCTTTCTTTTGCCTCCTTTTTCTTTCTAAAAAAGTATTTCTTTACTGTTGTGCGAAAAATCTCGAATTTCATGGAATTTTTTAAGTTTGCTTTATTTTTTTTTCTGGAATTGTTCAATTATTTTTTCATCATTTTCAGTCTTTTTTGACAATTTTCGGTCGATTTTTAAGCATTCTTTGTCAATTTTTGACGGTTTTCGGCTACTTTCAGCATATTTTTGCCTATTTACAGCCCGTTTTTGCCAATTTACAGTTATTAACTGTTTAAAAGGGGGAATTTTTAAAAATAGACGATTTCACTGAAATTTTCTGTTTTTTGACGAGATAACAATGTTTTCCAGGTTCTTGACAGCATGTAATTCGTTTCTATGCGTTATTCTTCCGAAAAAAATTCGGAAAAACGCTGAAAAACTGATCAAAAACGCTGAAAAACTGATCAAAAAGAGCTAAAAGAGTACGCGCTAAACAACGCGCGGGTGCGGAGTGTAGTTTGCACACAAAGTATAGTGGGCGCGGAAGTCGCGAGATGTCGCCTGCTGCTGCGCAACACCCCCTCTTATAAGCGCGCGCGTTTCTGAAGGTATTCGGTTGAATTCATGTTTCGCTGAAAGGCTCTCGATGATCCCCATCGCCACGAACGTGGTGGCCGGGGATTTGGCAAAATTTTTTCGTCGCGTCCCGTCCGTCTGTCTAGTCAGTTAGATCAGTCGAGACGCGGGGACGGCAATTTTCGCCTTGGGCATGTGGGCAGTGCACGGGAGTGCTTGGCCATGTGGATGGGTAGGCCCATAAAAGAATAATCACTTTGGTGTCGCGTGGGTGTATGGACGTTGCGATTTACAGGTGGGGACTATACAACAAAAATTATTCGTCGGCCGAAGCGAAAACAGCTTGGTCGATCATTTTTGGCTGTTTTTCATATTTTACAATTGGACAAAAAATTGAAGGAAAAAAGCAAACATTACCGTAAAAACTGTAATGTAGGACCTGTAATAGCCACCTCCAATACAACACCGCCCTATGAGATAACGGAGGTACCAAAAATAAGATTTTCTGCTTTATTCAGAAGAATCTGAAAAAATCAAACCTTTTACTAAATTTTCTAATCTTATAATTGAGCAGAAAAACAGTTTTTGTTACCTTGTATCACCCCAAAAACCCATCTAAAAAATAGAACGCATGGCGCTATATTACAGGTTTTACGATAAGTTAATTTCGAGGTATCGTGATTTGGAGAAAACTCGAAAAAAGTCTGTGTGAGAAAATTGGAAACTACAGTCCGATATATTTAAATTCCAACCACATGAAGAGCTTACAACCAAAGAAATCTTTCCTTATAGTACTGGAAAGCGACCATTCAAGTTGGAAATGCAGTCTATCAAAATTTAACGCTCCTGTACTTTTAATGTATTTTATATTCTTTTAACTTTCGTTGTTTATAATCCATTCATTTCAAAATAAAACATCTTTAAAAAATACAATCATAAAATAATATTCATTCCTTTCGGGACTTCCCCCTCATCAATAACTTCAAAAACAATAAATGAAGAGTTCAACTTAACAGAAAGAACATTCTCAGAGTCAATTCCAAAGTATCAGGCTTTGTTAGATAGAATTCCTGTAAGAAATGGTGATCCGTATAAATCAATCAATGACTTCTCAGCCTTGAAATGGTCAAATTTTATTTGACACTACCTCATAGGTGGTGGATTTGGGAACGCCTGAAAAGAGACTGTATTACTGAATCATACGCATTGAAACTCACTTCTTTCAATACTACAACCAACTCCATTTTAATATTTTCAATTTTGGGATTTAGACATTTTTGAAATGCTTGAAATTGAGGAATATCACGAAACATTCACGTTTTTTGATGATTCATACGGACCACAATTTCTCATAGTTTCGGGACGGCCCGCGGGTCGGCCCGTCGAGAATTTTGCCGGGCCGGGCCGGGCCGATGAAGAGCCGGCCCAGCCCGAGGTCTGTACGAACGCTGATTTTTTTGAATTTTTTTTCGAAATTTTTGAAATTGTTTCAAACATATATGCAAAAACAAAATATTTCTGACTACTTTCTACTTTGTTAATTTTGTTAAAAAATGTAACGTTTTTTTCTTTTTTTATTCGAAAAAATTATCCAGTTTTTGATTGGAAATCTTTCAACAGTGGTAGGCGGGCCGGTCCGCGACCCTCGCCGGGCCGGGCCGAGAAAATTCGTCTACCGGCCCGGCCCGGCCTTTTGCAACTATGCAATCTACTATTTTTTTTGAAGTTGCCGCGCAGCTTTCGCAACCGTAGCTCAGCTAGCGACCCGGCAACAACCGGACTCCAACGGTGATCTCACACCCACAAGTATCTTTTCTCATGTCACAAAGTTGAGAAAATAATATCAATGTTGACCAACTAGAGAACATTGGTATTTTTTTCAACTCCAAGTTTCTTTCTAGTCTATTGATAAATTCTATAGTTCCTGTAACGAATATAGTCTTTAGAGCGCTTAAAAAGTGATAAGACGCCAGTTTTTGACCAATAAACCTAACCTCCTTTATATACCGACTGATAAGTTGTTCAATTTGAAGAATGTTCTTCATTTTGGTAATTTCTTTTGTTCTAACCTGGTTAGTCGTAAGACAATACCAGAAAGTGTCCCGTCTTCCACCTGGACCAGTTTCTCTTCCTCTAATTGGAAATTTACCCCAAATTGTGTATTATCTCTGGTCAACTGGGAGTGTTGTTTCTACTTTGGACTTGTTCAGAAAAGTGAGTTTGATTTGAGCAAATTTTACAAAAACTTGTCAAAATTCAGCGATATGGAAACATTTTCACATTGTGGGTTGGTCCAATCCCTCATGTCAGCATTGCCGACTACGAAACTGCTCATGAAGTTTTTGTGAAAAATGGCAACAAATATGCAGACAAGTTCCATGCTCCCCTGTTCCAAGAAATCAAAAGTGAGAATTACTGTAGTATAAGCTATCATATCTGCTTGTTTAGACGATCGAGGAGTGGTGGTAACAAACGGCGATCATTGGCAAGAGTTGAGGAGATTTGCGTTGCAAACATTAAGAAACATGGGTGTTGGGAAGGATGTCATGGAATTGAAAATTGTTGAGGAATTGAATGCAAGGTATGTCATACACTATTTTGTTTATACAAGTTGTATGTGAGACTTATAAACGTCGTAAACAAAAAAATAACCTTCTCAGATGCGCTGACATTGACGAAGCCGCTGTGAATGGAGTCACCACCACACAAGCCTCTGAATTCTTCGATTTAACAGTTGGAAGTATCATCAATAATATTCTATTTGGAAAACGATTCGATAAAAATACGAAAGGAGAGTTTTTGAAAATCAAAAACGCCTTGGATTCTGCTTTCGAACTGTTCACCCCGTTCGACATGACTGTGCCCATCTGGGTGTTGAAGACATTCTTTAGCAAACGTTATAATAATCTGATCACTATGACTGATGAAACCACGAGCTTCGTGGCCAAAGAAGCTGAGACCAGGTGAGATTCGGCTTTGAGCAATACTCTGGATTTTTTTCAGATACGCTCAAACGAAATCAGGGCAATATTTTATCGATGAGAACAACATTCAAGACTATACTGATGCATTCCTGTTAAAAATCCAAAAAGATGGAGAGAACAAAGATTTCAAGTGAGTGTATGAAGTGTTGATTATTTTTAAACATACAATTTCCAGTATCGAGACTCTCAAAACTATGATCATTGACTTGTGGATTACTGGACAAGAGACTACAACAACAACGCTAATTTCGGGATTCAACCAGCTACTCTTACATCCTGAAGTTATGGAAAAGGCTAGAGCAGAACTCATGAATATCACTGAAAACGAATCTCGTGACCTCAGCTTATCCGATAGACCCAAGACACCATATCTAAACGCGATGATCGCAGAAATTCAACGCCACGCATCAATCCTGAACATCAACTTCTGGAGAATCAACCATGAACCAACCTATATGGGAGGACATATGGTTGATTCTGGAACATTTGTCACCGCACAACTCAGCGCTCTCCATATCAACGAAACAGTTTTTGAAAATCCCCAAAAATTCGATCCAGAAAGATTCATCCGCGATGAGTCACTTCTTCAGAAAGTTATACCGTTTGGGGTTGGAAAACGTGCATGCCTGGGGGAGTCGCTGGCTAGATCCGAACTGTACTTGGTGAGTTGAAACTTATAGATTTCAAAATTATAATCGTTTTTATTTCAGATTTTCGGAAATCTCTTGCTTCGTTATAATTTCAAGCCGCACGGAAAACTGTCGACTGTTGAAGTGCTACCGTACAGTTTTGTCAAGAGACCATTCAAGCTTGAAATGCAATTCGTGAAGATTTGAATGTGAACAGTTATTTTCGGATAATTTACCGTTTTCTTTTATATTTCTGGAAATAAACACTCAATTTTTTTTACTTTGATCTCATTCATATTTCATTTCAATTTGAATCATAAGATTAGAAAGAAAACATTATTTCAGCAAAAATTTCACTTGCGATTAATGAAAAACCAAACCTACCAAATAAACAAAACTGCAAACAAAAAATGACATATTCTGAAATTTTAAAAAAATTTTAAATGTTTGGAAGCAAGCACAATGAACGATATTTTTATGGAAACTCTCAAAAAATTCGAAAAAAAACAGGCAAATCTTAAATCACAGAAAACTTTTTTAAAAGGTATTTTGAGAGGAGTGAGAACTTGTTTATAAAGAGCCTATCTTGCTATTCTACTTTTTTTGAAGGATATAGTGAAGGGTTTTTGAAATGGAGGACTTTTGTAGGAAACGAGTCAGCTTACTGTAGAGGAATAATTGCAAAGGAGGACGGTCGAAAAATTAGTCTTTAAACAAATGGTACGGTCACCAAAATTCGAATGATGTCTTTCCGTTGAGATGCTTTGGATGTCAAATATACCGGAAATTATGCTCTCAAAACTCTATTTCTTGAACGTTTAAATTTTCAGTCAAATTACTAGATTGAAGTTTGTAGTTTTTTGATAACTTTAATTTTTCCTCCATTATTTTTCAAATGTCAAAGATGTCAAAGCGTGTTTTGTAGACAAATTAGTCAGTTATAAGGGTCATTGTAATAACACTCTGTGTAGTTTGTAGCCTTCCCGCCGTTTATATAATAGTAAACAGTAACAAAATCATACCGCTGAAAGAAAAATGATTTTCATTTTACTCCTCACCACTTTCCTAGCCATTCTGATAGTTCGCCAGTACCAGAAGGCTAAGAAATTCCCTCCGGGACCCACTTCACTTCCTTTCATTGGAAATATTCATCAGCTAATTTACTATTGTTGGAAACACAAGGGAGTTGTCCCTGCATTTGATTATTTTCGACAAGTAAGTCACATGCATCAGGAAATGAATCAATAAATTACTCTAGACCTATGGAGATGTGTTTACTCTTTGGTTGGGACCAATTCCTCATGTAAGTATTTGTGATTATGAGACCTCTCAAGAAGTTTTTGTGAAAAACGGAAATAAGTACAAAGATCGATTCTTGCCGCCGATATTTGAACATGTTAGTGGTAAGTGACCAATTTTCAGTGTTATTTTTATTCAGAAAACGCATTTTTTAGAAAATCTTGGCTTGGTTTCCGCGAATGGGGAATCTTGGGCAGAAATGAGAAGATTTGCATTGGGTGCTTTTAGAACTATGGGCGTTGGACGGGATCTGATGGAGGAGAGAATTTTAGCAGAGTTGGATGCAAGGTATTTTGGAAGAAATTTATTGAACGCAGCTCAACTGATTTTTCAGATGTGCCAAAATTGATGCCGATGCTGTAAACGGAAAAACCATAGTTCATACTACGGAATTTTTCGATCTCACAGTTGGCAGCGTTATCAACAGTGTACTCATTGGAAAACGATTTGATTCTCATAACAAGGACGAGTTTTTGAAACTCAAAGGACTCATAGATTCAGCTGCAGACTTGTTCACTATTTTTGACCTCACTGTTCCAATATGGTTGCTCAAAAAATTGTGTCCTGAACGGTATGCAAAAATCGTTGAATCTCAAGTAGAAATAATCAATTTTGTATCTCGAGAAGCGAATGAGAGATATGAAAAAGTGAAAAGCGGAGAGTTTACTATCAACTCAGAGGATCCACAGGACTTCGTAGAAGCTTACCTGGCAAAAATGGAACAAGAGAAGGAGAAAGGAACAACCAATTTGTACACAATGGAATGCTTGAAACACGTGATTGGAGATTTGTGGTTGGCTGGACAGGACACTACTGCAACAACACTGGTTTCTGGATTCAATCAGTTTGTGAATCATCCAGAAGTTGTGAAGAAGTGTCGTGAAGAACTGATGAAACTGACAGATAACGGATCAAGACCCTTAAGTTTAAAGGATAGAGCAGAATCTCATTATTTGAATGCGACGATAGCCGAAATCCAGAGACATGCTTCAATTCTAAATGTTAACTTTTGGAGGTACAACCACGAGGCCACCACCATCAAAGGATATCCAGTGGATTCTGGATCAGTGATCACAGCTCAACTTGGAGCACTTCATGTCAACAATGACATTTTCAAAAATGCAGAAAAATTCTACCCAGAAAGGTTTATTGAAGACCCGAAACTCTTGAATCAAGTGATTCCATTTGGAATTGGAAAACGTTCCTGTGTAGGGGAGAATATTGCTAGATCGGAGATCTATTTGGTAAGGTGATGATTAGTGATTATCAGTTGTTAATCATATAAGTTTTCAGATGATTGGAAATTTGTTGCTCCGGTATGACATCAAACCGTTTGGAGATGTACCATCCACAGAGGACAAACTACCGTATAGCGCTGGAAAATTGCCAGACAAAACTGTGAAACTCGAATTTTGTAAATTATAGAGTTCCTTTTGAAAACTAGTATTGTGAACAATTGAATGCTAAAAATTAATGGTCGATAAATTACAGTTTTTTGTGTCAATTTCCGGTAATAAACACCTCATTGATCTCTTTATTGGCTGGTAAGACACAGTCAGTTTTAGAATTTTTTGAAAACGTTGGGCTTTGGCGGCTTCAGAAGTGACAGAGTTATATTCAGAGTTTCAGAGTTGTTAGTTGAACACTATTTTTAGAATCAAAGTTTCTCAATGATTTGTTCCCCAACAGCGAGTTCCACATACCTGAAAATAATGCTTTTTTAATCACTAGCGCCATCTTACTTTTTACAACAAAGTTAAAAGTTAGAGGCCCTCCTATTACAGGGCTTACAGTACCTGGAAAACTAATGTTCTAAACAACTGGCGATGATGACGCTTCAATGTGTTTGAAAATTTCTGTATGGTTTGCTCCAACTTCTCTTGCATATTCCACCCACAGTACACCATGATACCATATTGCAAAGTCATTATCAATGATACTGAAGCTGTGTACATTACTGAGTTCCAACGAATAGATCCATCTCTTGGATGGAAATATAAAACTGACTATGAAAGAATTGGAATCTCGGCTCTTATGAGAATGGAAAATAAAATAAGCTTATCATAAAGAGCCGGAACTTCCTCAATAGCAACATTGTAACAAAAACGCAATTCGTGAAAATGAAAAAAAAAAAACCATTTACCTACCTCTACCTCTCATTTATTGCTCCAAGACCCTTTAAGAAAACGTGAGAAGCGAAGCGACGAACCAGTAAAAACCTAATTTAAATCGCGCCGAAGGCGCACCAGCTTGCTAGTTATAAATATATTTTTACTGAATTCATCAAAAATAGCTTTTGTGATTTGTTTCCAATTCATCACAAAACACAACGCTGTTTGTGAACTTAACAGGCAGAGAACACATTCATCTACCTGTTGTCTCTTATCGGCAAACACTCCCTCGCATCTCTTTTTTTTTCTGTAGTACTTAGAAAATAAATTGGTCGTAGAAGAATGATCATCGTGTATATAAAACGACGGAACAGGTAAGATTTGCACTTCCACTCAAACAAAAAATGCTATTCCTCCTGATTTTCGTAACTACTCTAGCAATCTGGACAGTCTACTTGTGGAGAGCTACACAGAGGCTTCCCAAAGGTATGAAATTCATTAAAGTTTGAAATGTAGAGGTACCTATACATTCTAGGTCCTTTCCCACTTCCGCTTATTGGAAATTTCCACCAACTCGCCTATACATGCTGGAAGGCTGGAGGTACTGTCGCTGGCTTTCACGAGTTCAAAAAACAATATGGCAAAGTTTTCACGATATGGTTGGGTCCACAACCAACAGTACACATTACGGATATCGAGATTGCACAAGAGACCCATGTCAAAAGAGCCAACGTTTTTGGACATCGGTACTCAAATGGGGGGACGGATTACATCAGAGAGGGTCGCGGGATCGTTGCTTCAAATGGAGAGTTTTGGCAGGAACACAGAAGGTTCGCATTGAAGACGTTGAGAGATTTCGGGTTGGGAAGGAATTTAATGGAGGAGAAGATTATGGAGGAGTATAGATACAGGTATTTTATGACAGTTGATTCAATACAGTTGATCCAGTCGGGATTTTTAGATTTCAAGACTTCAAGAAGACTAACTTCAAGAATGGAGGAATCGAGGTGCACTCTGATTCTTGCTTCAACCTCCTAGTTGGATCCATTATTAACACTTTGCTGGTATCCGAGAGGTTCGAGCAGAATGATGCGGATTTTGAGAAGTTGCTGGAAACTGGGACAGTTGCCCTAGAAAAAATGTCTGTTCTTGATTCATTTGTTCCTTTGTGGCTTATGAAATCACGTGCATGGCAGTGGAGGACGAAAAAAGTTTTTGGACCATTTGAATTTGTTCATGGTTTGGTTGAAAGAAAGATTCAACAAAGGTACGGCTTTATTTCAGTGAAGGGGTCCCAAACAATTTCAGGAGACCCTAATAAAGAAAAGAGGGTGACCTATATTTTTTCAAGATCCCCTAAAATACCTACCTTGAGATCCCTAAACTGGATAAAAACCGAAGTGGCTCATTAATGGTGGTCGAATATAGTCACTGGTTGTTTTTTCAGAGTTAAAGAAATCGAAAGTGGCGAGCACACAATGAGCGAGACAGGCGAAGATTTTGTGGATGCATTTTTGATCAAGATGGAGAAAGATAAAAAGGATGGAGTGAAAGATTCAACATTTACGTAAGGGTGTTATTCTGAACTTTCCGATTCCCCAAATGCGGCATTCCAGTCTCGAAAACCTCGCAATCGACTTGTATGATCTATGGCTAGCCGGTCAGGAGACAACATCAACAACTATGGTTTGGGCATGTGCTTGTCTTCTAAATCACCCAGAAGTTGTCGGAGAGTTGAAGAGGGAACTCGTTGGGGTTACTGGAGGCACCAGAGCACTGTCATTGACAGATAAACCAAACACACCGTTTTTGAATGCTACAATTAATGTCAGTAAGTTCTAGATGTTGTTTTTACAACTCACAAAAATGTAGGAAGTCCAACGCATTGCTTCTATTCTCAACAGTAACCTATTTCGTCAACTTGAAGAGGATACAGTTATCGATGGCCAGCCCGTGTCTGCTGGAGCACTTGTTACCGTTCAACTCTCTGCTCTTCATACCGATGAAGCCGTGTTCAAGAATCATACCAAGTTTGACCCGAAGAGTCTCATGAAAAACAGAAATTTGGAAAAGAATTTGATCCCATTTGGTATTGGTAAGCGATCCTGTCCCGGGGAGTCGTTGGCTAGAGCAGAGTTGTATTTGGTAAGTTAACTAATCTTGTTCACATGATTTTGTTTTTCGGAGAACGCACTTAGGTTCACAACAGCGTGAGCATTAGACCCACTAGCTCGACACACCGAAAGCCTTGAATAGTTAAAAGACTTTTCTCAGATAACCGGAAACCTGATCCTGGACTTTGATCTGGAACCCGTTGGACCAGCGCCAGAAATCAAGACAACTGCTCCATTTGGATTGATGAAGAGACCTCCGAGCTATGATATAAGATTTGTTCCGATTGAAAAGTGAATTTCTCCCTGACGGAAGTTTTCTAGTTTTGTTCATGTATAAAACACTTTCTTTTTTATTTCAAAAGTATGAGAATAGGACAATGTTACGAGCATAATTTATGGTATTAGCGCTAATGTTGAACATTTTTGATTTTTCTGTTCAAAATGAACAAATTTCGCAACATTTTTTGCAAAAAATCATTGGCGGAATTTGAGAGTCTGAAGCCGGAAGTGAAACTGATTTTCCGGAAGTCGGAAGTCGGAAGACGGAAGAAAAATTTCGAACTAGGAAGTCGGAAGTCGGAATTCCTGACAACTCTGAGCTGCACCCTCCCTCCTTCATAAAGCTTTTCAAAATTTTCTCTAAATTGGCTCATTCATAGAATCAAGAATGAGCTTTTGCGTAACAATAGTCGCTACTTCGAGAAAAATTGATCGGAAATAATGCGATTTACGCGAGTAAGACATAAGGAAGACACATATCGTACAAGAAAGTAAGAAACATTTATTGGATAAAAACGTTCTAAAAAATGTCCTGAACCATTTCTGGTTCCGAAAACTGAACATTGAAAATATCAAAGGTTTTAGCGATTTCCAATTTTTCTCTTTTTTCTCTCAATACACCAAAAAGCGAATTATTGACTTTCATCATTTTCACAACTCGATCCGAGTATCTTGGATGACCAATTTGTGTATAATAATCATGTAAATCATCAGCCACAGTTTTCAGCAAATTTTCAGAAATTTCAGCATATTCTCCACCCAATCGTTTTGCAGCAAAGGAAAACGAGAGTTGTGCCAGCATATAATTGAATTCAACATCCGTCGGATTCAAATCCAGAATTAATGGGATTGTAGTGAAAATGGACAAGTTTTCAGAGCATTCGATGAAACTGGAAAAATCGATAAATCATCAATTTGATATAACATTTAGATTACTATGCAATTTGCTCTACGCTATATTCTGTAATCCATTCCACATTTAGTTTGACAGTTTTCAAATCCAAACTGATGTCGTGTGTCATGTAAATACAAGTTGGATCCGTGAGCTTTTGACTTCGGAGATAGGCAGCCGACCGGACCAGACTTTTCAGACGATTCCATATGTGCCAGATGGTTTTTAAAAATTTTAGCTGAAAAATAAACATTACCGGTAAATCTGATATGCAACAACGTATTGTTTAGTCGATTTATGGGCATTTTGATTATTTTCAGGCGTCAGGATCTTGGCTGTTAGATTTCCAATCACTTTGAAAATTTCGCATTCATAGAATTTTTGGAAAGTTTATTGTTGTTCAAATATTTGCCAATATCTGAAAAAAACCCTATTTTTCTCATGTTTTCATTACAAAAGCAAACAAAAGGTCTTTCAGAAATTGGCAAATGGCTAAAAAACTTGGAGTTTTCAATAAACTCTGTAAATGCAAATCTCTGTAGCGCCCTCTCCCGATGGCACGACCTTATGTATTAGCCTAGCGGGTCACATGGAGCTACGTCATCGGAAGCCTACAGTCACCCAATACACCGAGGAAACGTCTCTAGACCTGTCAAGCTGCCCACAGGAGTCTGCGTGTCCCACCATCGCGCACACTCTCGCCCACCAGGAGGTGCGCTCCACTGAGACTGCTCTACAGGACCTGCGCCGAATGGGACAACAACCGCCAACCAGGACCAGACGCACTCTCTCCATTCTCTATGATCTCTCCTTTCCTTGTCTCTGCGTCTCTCGCATCACTTATCACTGATTCATTGTAATCATTATCTGACCAGTTCTTCCATCCTGCAGTCTTGTAGGATGGTTGTTCCGTTCACTCGCTCCTTCCGGTAACTGACACTAACATTTACTAATACGTACTTGCCCAGCAAGGTCCTATATGGCCCAGCTTGTACTATGATGAACCCAATGTGATACAATCCTTGTCTACTAAACACTCACAACGTCTGCTACATAACAGTCACGGTTTGCTAGGAGTGTGGACTCATCACCCCTCAATACTAAACCGCGACAAGGTCTGTTTTACATCCTCCAAAAATTAGAAAGTGATTGGAAACTTGACAGCCGATTACTTTTTTTTTCAAAATGAAAATTTTCCAAACTCACTTTAACACTCAATCCAAGCTCTTGAAATTCGCCAAAATAAGTAAGCCATCTTGCCACTGAAAGTAGGTCATTCTCCCAAATAATGAAAGATTCTCGGATTCCAACAGTTGTTATTTTATTATAATCATAACTTTTGAGTTCTCGGAACTCGCCGAGATTCATAAAACGGCTCATTTTTTGTAAGCGATTACGATCTACAAAATTTTGATGATATTGCAGAATTAGTTTGGCCTTTTCCAGAAGATTCGAAAGATCAACAAAATTCGGCGTAGGTTTGGGCCGTTCTGGATCACAGAAAAGCAAAAAATCGGGTCTTCCAACAAACATTTCTATCGAAGGAGTGAAAAATTCCGAAGTTTTTATTCGGTCCCGATTGAATTGGAAATCTGAGAAATGTTGGAAATGGAGCGCCATTGCAATGTAGTAACTCACTTTTATTGCTCATACCGACTTCTTTGCACTTTTCTAATCTACATTTTTTGCATCTTTGTATTTTGCATATTCCAACTCCTGTCCGACATTTCAAAAATGTATTTTCTCGTGCACCGATTCTTCTGAAAATTCAAAATTGACCTTTTTCGAAAAAAAATTGGCTCACCTATAAAATACTGCACATGCTCGACAAGTCGTTGCTCCAAAATGAGTGCCATGCGATTTTTCTCCACAAACTCGACACAAGTTCGGAGACATACTTTTCCCCTGAATTGAATGAATTGAAAAAAAAATGACGGAATGGAAACGATAGAAAAAACCTGTTTGATGATGAAACAAGGTTTTTGATGGAGACAGTTAGAGAAGCAGACAAAAAAATAATGTGACTTCCTCTCGAGACTACAAAATTCCAAGGTTTTTTTTGGTTGAGACGCAGGCAGATTTTGAAAAGATCTGTCTGTTTCCATCGTATGCGTTTTGTTTCGTTTCACCGCTTCGAGATGCAGTGGCGAACATTAGTGAGTGTCACTCTATACTTTTGTTCATAACTTTGCTCAAACGTTACCAAAAAACAGAAATTGTGTATGTATATTGTAGAAAAATCAAATACACACATTCTCTCAAAATATGAGAAAATTTGGATCATTTTGAGCCGAGTTATAGCGAAACCCCTTAACCATACCTTTTATGCTTCCTTGAGCATATCTCTAGAGCAAGTGTTCCAAACAGCTTTTAATTTTTTCTGGTATATATTTAATCTACATTAAACATTTTTCATTACAAATCCAATCTTTAATGGGGTTATGCACGTAATAAATTTGCAATAAAATGGCAAATAAATACACAAAAATACTATGCAGATACGCAAATAAATTAATTTATTTGCATCCAAAAAACGAATATAATTGAACTATTGGCCGTGGAAATTTCCTCTCAAAATTTTTTCTCGAGAAAAAT